TTTATTCATTTTAAGGTGTAGACGGTACAACTGTAAATAAAAAAGGTACATATAAATTGTTGTGAAAGTTATAGTTTGGACTCTATAGGTAAAATTTAATGTAACATGTACAAAATATAAGCTGTTAATGGATATATAGTTTCATTGGATATAATTTAAAAGCTGAGATAATGTAACCGTATACTTTAAAAGTTTGAAAATTTAAAAATTTGTTCCGCTTAAAGTATACTGAGTTGATCTCCCTAAGCAGGTCAGGTTAAATGGACTTTGTTAATGAAAATTGTACGGATTAATACGTGTTGAATATAAGTCCCTCTTACCAAACTGAAGCATTAATAATGAAACATTGTGAATATAAATACCAATATTATACAAATAATGGTGGGACATGAAAATATAAAAGGTATCAAATCTTCAATTAACTTAAGGATGACACCATTAACCATGAGTTGTTAATAAATACAATTTTGTTAATTGTCTGGTAAGTAGTGAAAAGATAACTAAAACATTGTTCCAAACAGAAGTTAACATAAAACATTTGTTCAACAAATACATGATTACTAAAAATATATGTTTTTCATGGAAGATCCCAAAATAAAAGCTTGTGTCCCAAACATTTTGCATGGCGATCACAAAAAAGGCAGAATTGATCTTTACATGTTTTTGGTGTTCCTTCCAGACTTGGTCTTTGCCGCTTTTGTTGCAGAAAGCTTTGGTGATAAAAGATCAGGGCCCTCTGGATTTAGAACTAAATTAGGTGACAACCTCTTTGAAGGGATGTTAGAAATGCTGGCTTCGGGGCTCTAATTCTATGTTGCAGATGTAGTTGTCTGAAACATATGCAGCAATGTATGTTAGTGTGTTCAAAATGATCGTACAAGGAGGTTTCATTAGCTTAAATTCAGAATTCATAAAGACTTACTTTGGAATGAGTAACATTAGTCTACGTGTTTATAACATTGTTGTCTTCCAAGCAGAGTACGACCTTTCCCTTAGGAGATCCAACCTTATTGGTGATGGTTAGACAAGCCTAAAAGCAAGTGCGCAATATGTTAGCATATTGGACTTACAAAAATAAATTGAGTTGGATTGTTAATTTGCATATCTGAGCAGGTGTAATAACTTCTTCTATCTGCCACATCACCTCACGATCTTGAGTTAGTCTAACTACAAATGCTTGTCTGTAGTAAGGCTGGTATTTAGCACGAAAAGCAAAGTCTTTGTCCAACAGACGGTCAAGATGTTCCGGATAAATCAAAGGATGGTTCTCATTTGTCTATGAAGTATAATGCAAGAAGTATAAGTAAGAGTTGTCATGTATAATATTGAGTAATATGCAATATGTACAATGATGGAAATTAGGATTTGCAGCCTGTATTGTCCAAGACTTTTGTAAATATAGAATGGGGCTTTAGTAAATCAGGAATAAGACTAAAGCATTACAGGCTGAAGTAAATAGTAAAGCTGAAGTAAATAGAATTATATGATCATATAAGAGAAAACCATGATATGTCTAAAAATATTTTACATTGGATTGAAGATTTATTTCATAACAGAAGCAAAACAGGCTGATCAGATAAGACTTATTCATGATTAAAATTAAAATAATGGGATGACTTATAGAATGTAATAGTTTGGTTGCAAATATAGTTTGTATCAGTAGCAATATGGTGAAATGTAAATTTCAGATGGCAATGAATTATAGTATGAGCACATTTGATGTAAAATAAAAAGTATATTTTGGTTGACAAAATAGTTTGTACTAGGAGAAGTATTTTCAAATGTAAATTTCATATGCCAATGGTGATGTAAAGTACAAACCTTTTTCATTATCTGTCTTAGTGCATGAGCCGACATGCCAACATAAGGAATACACTCCTTGTCCCAAAACACAACATCAGCAGTCTTGGATTCGTGTTTGACCTTAATATCAATTTTATACCTATACGGGGGGACATAAACAATAATAAGGTATACTACAAATATCTTTCGTTGATATGCATAAAATTTAAAATATGACAGTGTTGTTTAACGAAGCTTACTTAGTTATCGAGGTTGAATTGTTATCAGAACATTTGCATTGGAATGGGGAGCCTGGAGATTGGTTGGTTTTGTTACAAGTTTAACACAACTCATAATACCACCCGAAAGGGTTATCCTTGAACCTCACTGTCTTTTCAACCGTATTGCAGAAGGTTTCCTACATAAATTAAAGTAGTGATTACAATACATGGATAACAAAAATATAGTAGCCGTCAGGTGAAGTAAAAGAAATGCCAAAAAGGTAACAAACTTCAGTAAGAGTTGTGATCTCAGCAATGCTTTTAACATCCTTGGTGAATGAGAAATCCTTGTCGTCAACTGCTCCTTGTGAACATGAATTCAGAGAAATTGACTGGGTAGCTGCCTGATCTTGATTACCTTTCAAAAATCTGTGATATACACAAGTTTCCATCAAAATTATATAGTAAGGATATTAACATTATATTAGTAATAGAAAAATGATATCATATTACTATACTTTATTTTGAACTCCTCAACTTGTGGATGGTCAAGGTTCAGAAGTAGTCTTGAGCCATTCCATGCATTAGAAATAGTAAGCTTTCTGTTGGCTGCAAAAAATAGGCAGTCATTCTAATGTAATTACAACACGACATTTTGACGAAAATAGTTTTACAAAACCTGAACTCTAACAACATCATGCGTGAGTAAGGATGAGGAACACATGTCCATTTTTAGCAGCATAATTCATAAACTGGTTTGCATATGCTTTCCATAGAGTAACATCCATTTCAGCCCCACTACAAATACAAGTATAAATCAGTGTTACTTTGAAAACCTAATTTGTATAAATTAGTTGAAGTAAAAAAGTAATGTAAAATTAAAGTAAGAGACCATTCATCAGATAATGTGAGGTTTACGCATGCCTTTTTTCCAGCACCCGATACTTGAGTTCTAACAACTTGCTGGACTGCACCTATTACATCTGAAAGAAATATCATTGAAGGTTAGAATGGTGACAATAAATAAATGAACTTTGTTAAGAAGAGAGTAGGACATTAAATACCGTAAAGGCGATCAACAATGAAATCTTCGTTTTGGAAATCAGTAAAGGACTTAAAGTAGAAGTTGTGTTGTGGAATGTCTAGTATGTCAACAGTAGTGATAGTTGTGGAACGATTAAAAAACAGCTTGTATTTGTTATCACAAACTTTCATAGGCATGTCATACAACATCGTTTCACCGTTATAGACCATGTAGGTTTGATTTTCTTGCAAGTTATTCTTCCAAACATCAAGGTCACGAAAGTGAGTTACAACATGGATCTGCTCAGCCTGTAAATAAAAAAATATTGAAACAATGTATAAAACTTTCACACATTCAGGTTTAACACATATGATATAAACAATGAAAAATGCATATGCATCTTGAATAATAGCTTCAAGACAAGATGCTACTGGCCATTGCATTCCTTGACGTTCCAGACACCGACGACACAAATAGTTATTTTCCATACGTTTTGTTCAGGTTTCAGGTCGTAAATCATAATAGGTGGTCGCGACATGGTTGATCGCTAAACTGAAAAACAAACCAGATTTACACGATAATGAAACCTTTATAAAAATCAAATCTTTATAAAACAGAAAAGTGAAAAAAACCTTTATAAAATCAAACCTTTATAAAACTGAAAACTAAAGAAAAAAAATTAATCAAACCTTTATAAAAATCAAACATTTATATAACTCTTAGCTTTATAACAAATAAATCGGAGTTTCTAACATCCTAAGAAATGTGTTACACACTCACAAATATAAGCATACGAAAATATAGACAAGTAGAAACATGAAAATATAATCAGACAAGTCAAAATATGAAAAGAAGATGAACATGTTAACACGATTTTGAAAGATAAAAACATAAAAAAGTCATTAGAAATCAAAACTCTAACAAGAAGATTATAAAAAGAAAACGTTATAAATGGTGAAACTTTACAAAAATCAGAATTTTATAATTGTCACAACTTTAGAAATCTCACAACTTTGTTAAATCAACTCAGGATCGTGGCAATAAAACATGATAAACAACAAGAATATTGATGTGTTACCTGTGGAAGGCGGTTGGAAAGAGAGAAGAAGAAGCCGAAAATGCTCTGGCCGAGAATATGTGGAGAGAGATTAGGGAGCAAACATGAAGTGAAGAATGAGAGGGAATGGTGTTTTGTAAAGGGGTATTCGAATGGTGCATGGAAATGTCTACCGGGTAAAACATAGTTTCAATAAAGGTGAAGGGAAACCCAATAGTTAATGTTGTATTAGCAAAGAACAAATAGAAATGTTGGGAAAAGGGTGTCACTTGGAGGAATGGTTAATTGTGATTGGGGGAGGTTGTAATTGATTTAGCAAATTATCATCAAGTGCAATTCTTAGTGCAATTAAATTGTGAAATAAGGGTAATTTAGGGTGTTTAGGGGTATGCTATTTTCTTAGTTAGGTAGTTGATTATATATTAATATTGTGTATAAATAACCTAGTAGTAAGTAGGTCAATATATTTATTATTTTGTAACCGTCATTTAATATATTTCTTTTGTCTTTCATCTATTCTTTATGCACCAACCATATGGAACAACTAGGATATATTGATATTTTCCAGCCCACTAAATTTTTTTATATAGTAGATATCCCCTTTTTCATTCTATTCAACTAACTTCTTCAATAACTTCATAACTACCACCTCAAAAAATAAAAACCCCACTTGATAAATAAAACTCCAATATTCTTACGATAATTTATGGGCATTTATGGAATTTAAGATAGTTTGTTCGTTTTTCAATAAATAAAACTCCAATATTCTTACGATAATTTATGGGCATTTATGGAATTTAAGATAGTTAGTTCGTTTTTCAATTAATGCAGCAACTGGGTTTGTTTAGTTTTTGGATTTCATTCATTCATAAAGTTTAGAACTTTGTTCTCAGTTTTGGGTTTTAGTAACAAAACTATGAAGGGTAAATGTAATGTTTGGATCTTAGTTTCTTTCAGTGTGTTACTCACAACTGGGTCTTTGATTTCCTTCATGGTAGTCCTTTCATGGATTTACTCATATGCATTTTCTAGTCCTAGCTCAGTGATTAAGTGTTATGAGAGTATTGCTAACACTAGTAGTTCTCATTTACATGTTCAGAGCTATGTTGAGGCTTTGAATTTTAATGTTTCAAGGGATGCATGTGATGTGTTTGATGGAAGTTGGGTTAGGGATGATAGTTATAGTTACCCTTTATATGATGCTGATGAATGTCCATTTGTGGAAAGAGGTTTTAATTGTTTTGCTAATGGACGTAAAGATAGAGATTATACGAAATGGAGATGGAAACCGAATGACTGTGATATTCCAAGGTTTGATGCAAGGGGAATACTCGAACAGCTTCGCGGGAAACGGGTTGTTTTTGTTGGTGATTCGTTGAGTAGGACTCAATGGGAATCTTTGATATGTTTGTTAATGACGGGAGTTGATAATAAGACGAGTGTTTATGAAGTCAAAGGCAATAAGATTACGAGACAGATTAGGTTTCTAGGTGTGAGATTTAGTTCTTTTGATGTTAGGATTGATTTTTATCGGTCTGTTTTTTTGGTGAAGCCTGGCCGGGGTCGTAGATTTGCGCGGAAAAGGGTGAAGACAACACTGAAATTGGACAAGATAGATGATATTAGTCATGAATGGGTTGATTCGGATGTTCTTATATTCAATTCAGGTCACTGGTGGACAAGGACCAAGCTTTTTGATATGTGAGTAACATAATTCTACAAATAGAAATGCATCTTTTTTATGTGAATATTATATGAACAATTTAAGGATTTAATGCTATATTTATTTCAAAAGTATTAGATTTGATTCACTCCTCTGCATATTTTGTTTGCTTCTTTTCAACTTAATTTCATATTTGGGGCTGGATAGTGCACGTTTTACTGGCTGTTTGCAAATCAAACATTTTCATTAGTGAGTTGCAAGAAGATGAATGTCTCATTGTAATTTTGTGTTCAAAAATCTTCGACTAGCGCTAGCTTTTCTTCAAATGACAGCATTATGCATGAAATTTTTTTGTTCTTATGTGTGCACTTGTATTGTAATAGAATTTCCATGCAGGGTAGTATTGAAAAATTCATGAAACCAATCAACCATTTGCTGTTAATTTCTAACTTGATACCAGACAGGGGCTGGTATTTTCAGGTTGGTAGCTCACTGAAGCTTGGAATGCCAATTAATTCAGCTTTCAAAACAGCTTTACATACATGGGCATCTTGGGTGGAGAATAATATTAACACAAACAGAACAAGAGTATTCTTCCGTACTTTCGAATCAACACATTGGAGGTGGGTTGGTTGTAATTGTAACCGTATTTATTCCTTTCATTTTGCAATTTCCTAAATTGATTAGACAATGGCTAGCTAAACATGAATTAAATAGAGAATTTATTTCACTAATCCATTGGTACTACAGCTATTGAACTTGCCGAAAAGAGCTTAACATGTTTTTCTTTTTTGTACCAGTGGACATAACCACAATGCTTGCGAAGTGACTAAAAAGCCTTGGAACAAAACAAATGGCAAGGATCGAAACCCAATATCAGATATGATCAAAAGTGTAGTAAAAAACATGAATGTTCCTGCTACGGTTCTTCACGTGACACCGATGGATGCATATAGGAGTGATGGCCATGTGGGGACTTGGAGCGACAATCCGTCTTTACCTGATTGTAGTCATTGGTGTTTACCTGGAGTTCCTGATATGTGGAACGAAATTCTATTCTCATATTTGCTACAAAAAGATGGAGCAGGTTCACATTAAACCTGGTAACATGTTACTAAGTTAGTTAGTCCTTGTATTACTAAAATTCATCTGGATTGGCATTCAATGGTTTACTTCACATCATTTAGCTTTTGAAATGAGAGCTTAATGGAGGGACCAATCAATGTATATATGATATAAAAAAAATACTAGGACTGAAGTGTTGCTAATATTTCTGTTTTTTCATTAATATTTTGTATATATGGGCTAAGGTTTGGGCTGTTGTTATCCGTTATTCTGGCTCTGATGCCCTCACCTATTTATTTTACACAATTAGATATGAATTCTCACAAATTATGTACGAGTGTTCAAAATTTTATATGTCTAATATTTGAATGTGAAATTCGATGTGGTGGTAACTGGACGATTTTATGTCTTATATGTGTCTTTTAGTTGTTGGAATGGTGAGCCTATACCATCGCAAACAAGGTACACATTTAGAGAGAAACCCTCAGAAACGATAATCACTGTAGCAAATATAATGAGTGAAAATATAACGATGCCTAAACACTTGATGCAACATTTCTTTAGTCATTTGTCTACACATTTCTTCAGTGGTACAACGAATTAGAGTGTACACCATTAGTGACTATATTGATATTTTGGATTTTTTTTATTAAACAATGAAGATTGAAGAAGTAAGACGATAACATGAACAAGAGATCGTGTTTGAGCTTGCACCCGAAATTAAGAGGCTACAAGAGTGTATAGATGGAAGGATGCGAAAGATGAAGCCTATGTTTAGTTGGATCTTCGATAAAGAAACATCCTTATGAAAGTATGCAAAACAAATTTCAAAAATAAGTACTCTTAAAAAGCAATGACCGTGTCATTTATAATTTCTCAAAACTCTAGTGTTTGCTTATCATATATTATTTATAAAGTTTTTTTATAGGAAAACTATGTAGACTATTGTTCAACAATATGCATTGAGAGAATGTGTGGTAGGTGCTCTTTAATACGTGAGTCTTACGAGACTAGATATTATTTTTAAGGGTTAATACCTATTTTCACCTCTGACATATGGGGGGTATTTGAAAAAAACCTCTGCCAAAAAAAAAAGTTTCAATTGTTACCTTGACAAATTTTAAAAGTTTCAGTTTTTACCTTGAGGATGCCACATCACCTAAAAGGCTGATGTGACTTATATTTTTGTTACATTTGTAAGTTTTTGTTATGCCATGTCACACAATACCAAATAAAATATCCAGAATGCCCTTTTCTTAAAATCCCAAATTATTTGGCAAATGTTATGTTTCAATTCAGACCCTCCAAATTAGGACGCAGCCATCCATCTTCATTTATTTGCAAAATTATTTTACAAAAAAAGCCAGTTTCAATTCAGACCCTGCGATTAGGGTTCTTCATCCTTGCAAATGGGTGTGTTTAATTTAGTGTTTCATCATGGAGAAAGTTTCGTGCAAGACGGCCATACGTATTATAGAGGAGGTAGTGAGACTACTGTTGAAGGTCAGGACGAAGATAAATGGAGCTTTTTTGAAGCTGTTAGTCTGGTTAAAGACGGGGGTTATGAAGGTTTTAGGCTATGGAGAAAGATTCCGCAAACGGATGAAGGGTTTACAAATGTTGTTGATGATGCAGGAGCTGTAGAAGTTGCTAAGCATTGTATGTCTTGTAGGGTTCACGATGATCTTTGGGTAGAGCACGGTGTAGAAGACATGATGACCAAGGTTCTGGTACCTAATGTTGATGACTTCAGCACCTCTAGTGGAGATGATAGTACTGGTGACTATGTTGATGCAAGCCAATGTTTCAATGACAGTGAAGAGGAAAGAGTAATTGACGTAGAAGAAGCCAATGTTCAAGACTATGTTGTTTCTGCATTACAGTATCAAAACTTAGATCCTGAGAAATATGTCGACCCTTGTTACATGAGAGAAGCTTACAGGGTATGTTATGAAAACAATGTTAGTCCAATAAATGACATGGACATGTGGCCAACTGTGGATGCTGAAGAATTGTTGCCACCACAATACAAGAAGGGGCCTGGAAGGCCTAAGAAACTGAGGTTTAGAGAGTTGGATGAGAATGGTTCAAGGATGAGGAGGGTAGGTGTAGCATATAGATGCACGCATTGTGACAAATTTGGCCATAATTCTAGGAAGTGTCAAGCTAAGGAGCAAGATCCTAATGCACTAAAGAGAAAGGTATTGTGTTCATGAATCTGTTACTGAATAATATTGTGTTCAGCATATTGAAATGTCTTTATTTATATCTGTTTCTGAATAATGCAGAGAAAGACACCCAGGACCAAAGTGTCAAAAAAATCTGATGGGACTGTGGATGAAGGCCCAGAGATGGATGCAAATGTTGATACAACTGCAACTGGAGGTGGAACTGTGGATGAAGACCCAGAGATGGATACAAATGTTGATACAACTGCAACTGGAGGTGGAACTGTGGATGAAGACCCGGAGATGGATGCAAATGTTGATACAACTGCAACTGGAGGTGGAACTGTGGATGAAGGCCCAGAGATGGATGCAAATGTTGATACAACTGCAACTGGAGGTGGAACTGTGGATGAAGACCCAGAGATGGATGCAAATGTTGATACAACTGCAACTGGAGGTGGAACTGTGGATGAAGACCCAGAGATGGATGCAAATGTTGATACAACTGAAACTGGAGGTGGAACTGTGGATGAAGGCCCAGAGATGGATGCATTGCTGAATAATATGATGGATCTTTATGAAGAACAACAATCACAAGTTGACAATCCCACACAACCTACTGCTATGCAACCTCCCCCAACACATGAATCACAACCTGCTGCAATGCAACCTCCCCCAACACATGATTCACAACCTGCTGCAATGCAACCTGGCCCTGCTGCTACTAATGTCAAAAAACCTTCAGCTAGGAAAAAGGTCGTGGCCGTGCCTTGGAAGCGATCAAGAAAGAGAGTCAGTGAAAGATTGAAGGAAGTGAGGAATTCCAAAAGACATGGTGGGCCTGGATCAACACCTGATGCACCTTTGACCATAGGTGAAGAAACTGGTGGTAGTACCTCAAAGAAGATATCAAGGAAGAAGAGGAAGGGCATTGATCAGTAGTTGTGCACATAGTGTGCTATTTTGTAAAATTCAATTTGAAAGTTTCCTGTGTCATTTTGTTACTTTGACTTATTATCAGAACATGCTTGGCTTAAGTTATGTATCATGTTATTGTCATTTTGTATCACAGATGTACTTGACTATGTATCACAACAGATTTGCTTGACAATGTTAAAGTCATTTTGTATCACAGATGTACTTGACTATGTATCACAACAGATTTGCTTAACAATGTTAAAGTCATTTTGTACAACAGATTTGCTTGACTATGTATCACAACAGATTTGCTTAACAATGTTAAAGTCATTTTGTACAACAGATTTGCTTGACTATGTATCACAACAGATTTGCTTAACAATGTTAAAGTCATTTTGTACAACAGATTTGCTTGACTATGTATCACAACAGATTGGCTTAACTATGTTATTGTCATTTTGTACAACAGATTTGCTTAAGAACAGAATTACTTAACAACAGATTTGCTTAACAACAGATTTTGTACAACAGAATTACTCAACAGAATTGCTTAAGAACAGATTTCCAAAATATCAGAACAGATTTCCAAAATATTCCAAAACAGTTTTACTTAACAATATATCAGAGCAGAATTAAGCAAATATATTCCATAAGAAACCATAAGAAAGAAATATATTCCATATTCCATAACTCAACTAACCAAAACTCATGAGAGTAATATATTCCATATTCCATAACAAAGAAATATAATTCATGAACTAAATTTTACATAGGTTACAACTTCCTAGAACATAAGCCACAGCTTCATGAATTTTTACATGAACTAAGTAAGAAATGAACCAAAAGACAAATAAACCCAACTAAAACATAATTCAGCTTCTTTTTTAACTCATCCATTTTTTTCTCCATGGCTTCCATCTTCAGTGCGATATCTCTCTCCAGTTTGCTCATCAGTTCTACTGAAACTACATCCGAATGGCCGTTATCACCGAAATCATCAGAAAATTCATCATCCCAAACAAATGCGTTGCAGTCATATCCTTTACCCCAGAACTTACACTTCCAGTATTTTCTCCCGGGATTTGCAACCGATTTTGAAACAAATAACTTCATGGAGACATTGTGGCCGCATTTGGGAGTTACTCTACCATTTGAAGATAAGCTTGAATTAGAACAATTTGGTTGACTCATGTTTATGAAATCAAAGAAAACTTAAAGATGAAGAGGAAAGCAAAAGTTGGGTTGCTGAGATGAAGATGGTTGCGCCCTAATTTGGAGGGTCTGAATTGAAACATAGCATTTGCCAAATAATTTGGGATTTTAAGAAAAATGTAGAAAGGGCATTCTGGACATTTTATTTGGTATTGTGTGACATGGCATAACAAAAACTTACAAATGTAACAAAAATATAAGCCACATCAGCCTTTTAGGTGATGTGGCATCCTCAAGGTAAAAACTGAAACTTTTAAAATTTGTCAAGGTAACAATTGGAACTTTTTTTTTGGCAGGGAGGTTTTTCAAATACACCCCATATGTCACGGGTGAAAATAGGTATTAACCTTATTTTTAATGTAAACAAGACTTGTCGATTTACAGCTTCTTTTAAACTCCCATTGGTTTGCTGTCAAGAGGAATATAAGATATATGTGGTACTATTACACATGACTGGCTCCTTTCTCCATCTCCCTTGACACATAAATTTTCTCTAAGGGCCTATAGGGATTTGGATTGGGCAAGTGATCAAGAATATTGCAAGTCTACCTTGTATCATGGAGCTTCAAAAAGAAACCTCTTGTTTCTAGATCAATTATTGAGGTAGAGTATCGTGCCTTAGCACACACGACTTCAGAGGTATTCTGGTTAGAATCTCTTCTCATTGAACTTTCAGTCCATTTCTTGCCTCCAACTCTTCTTTGTGACAACCTTAGTGTTGTGCTTCTGTCACACAATCCAATACTTCACGTGCATACGAAACATACTGAGCTCAACATATATTTTGTGAGGGAGAGGATCATAGCCAAGAAGATAGATATTCAACATGTTCCTAATAGTGTGTAGGTTGCAGATACCAAGGTTGTCAGAATTGAGTGTTTACCTTGACTCGTTTTTCCTAGTTAAAATTGAAACGTAAAGTCAAAACGTAAAATCATAGAGTTTATCTCATATTAAAATAATATTAAATTTTTATACACGACATATATATACTTATATAATATTGTAAATGCATCAATAATTTAAATTTTTAACTTAATTATAAATAAAAAATACACTATATCACCATAATAAAGTGTGATACTCACAAACTTGTATCAAACTACTTAAATTATCCAACAAATCATAAAAAGTAACATCCAAAAGATTATCCCAAAAAACAAGAATTTCATAAGTTTCTCAAGTTCAAAGAAACAAGTGTTTTCGTCTTCATCTTTAATTTAATCAAAAGTTCAATTCATTTACAACATCTTCTTCATTAGTGTATTCATATTCAACTTGATTAAATTTATATCTAGATGATAAAGGTTCTTCAATACTATAACTAAGATATGAATGTGAATAAAATTAAAAAGCATAAGAGAAGTTTTCATGGGGGGGCAAAAATATCAAATTTGTTTTTTAAAATTTGACAAAAAAAGGTAAAATCGGGTCAAAAGAGTAATATCCAACGATTTTACATGATTCCAGTGATTTTAGAGCGATCTAAATCATTTAAAATCGTCCCAGAATACGATTTTACATAAAAAGTTTTTTACCTATGTGTTGTACCCCAAAATTTGCCCTCTCATATTTCTCAAAACATTGCAAGAAAAATCTCCAAGTGGCTCAAGCTTGCTCAAAAGTTGGACAGACAATCATCTCCTAAGGCAGTCTTCCCCAAATTAGGGTTTTGTGTTGCATCAAGATCCTTGAGTCCAAATGACCTCAAGTGCTCTCCATTGTCCTAATATGCTCTCAAGATCATCCATGTCAAATTTCAAGCCTTGCAGAGGAAGTTTGCTCAGTCAAATGCTCAAAAGGTCCAAAAATCGATTGTGCTAGGGCAAAAGTCAACTGTGACCCAAATACAGTCAAACTTCAAGATTTTTTTGCCAACATTCTCATTTTGAAGGTTATTTCATCATTTGATCAAGGTTTGATCAAGATTCATCAAGGATTGCTCAAAATTCATCAAGACTCAAAAGTTGCTAAATTAGGGTTTTGTAGGAAAAATCAACTCAACTTTGACCAAGCATAACTTTCTCATACTTTATGATAAATGACCTATCCAAATCTCATTTTTAAGAAGATGCAATTTCCTACAATCCATCTTCATACCCCAAGATCATAAAATGCACTCACAAGAAGTTATAAATTTGGACATTATAGGTCATTTTTGAAAGTCAACAAAAACACCTTTTTTTCCAAAGCTTATAACTTGAACATGGAATATCAAAATGAGATGAGACCAAAAGGGTTGGTTAGAGGACATCTCAAGCTTTCTAAAATGTCCAAGAACACTTCCAAAAGTTCAAAATTGAAGAAGTTATGCATTGTTGAAGTTGGGCATTTTTGCAAAATTGACAAAAGTCAACTATCCCCAAAACTTCAAATTTTCTCAAATGGGCCCATTCTTTTCCACTTAATTTGAGCTTTCACCATTGCACACGTGTCCTAGCTTCAGCCTTGAGATTATATTTCTTTTTTTATTATTTTATTTGATTTTTTATTGAATTATTTCATTTTTAAATCAAATTAAATCAAATAAAATCCAAATATTGATTACTTGAGATCTTTTTGGTTGTTTCAGATCTTAATTATCATCATGATCATAATCAAACTCGAATCTCACCATACCATGTGCAAAAAGATTGAAAAATTGGAAAATTTGGCAAGTTGGTAATGGTGAATCAAATCAAATATGCAATGCATTGATGTGAAAAATTCAAGCCATATTTGTTACCCTAGCACATTCCACAATACATAAGCAAGAGAGGCACACGAAAATAAGGGTTGGAGGCTGCAAGAACAAGCAGAACCAAGTTTGAAAAAAGTGACAAAAAGTTGGAATTCGAAATCATAGCAAGAGAGATTTTCAGAAGCCAAAAGTTATCCCAATCGATTCCTGGGTGTCCACTCAACCTTCTTGAATCAAAAGCACGCATTTTCCAACCTCCTAGAGCGCTATCCAAGCGCGAAGCCCACCATACACCCTCAAGCATCTAATGGCCAGATGGCCATAGGCCAAATCTGGTGGCCAGAAGTTGATGGTCTACCATAGACCAAGTCAACGTGCACCCACTGGATCTCACAAAGTCAAACAAGGCCAGCTCGTTTGGGCCCTGGGATTGCTTCTCAAACACCCTTTTCAGGCCCATACCCTTTCTCTCTTTCTATTATTTATTTGTTTATTTTAATTATTTGTTTTATTATTTTTATTTTCACACACTAACCAATTAAAATTCTTTTCTTTAAAAAATAAAATCACACAAAAATATTTTTCTTTATCAAATTAAATTCTAACTTTTATTTTTATTAATAAGCATTAATTAATTGATTTAGATTTTTAATTAGAATAACTTTCACATTTTTGTAAATAATTAAAACTAACTAGACTTAATTAGGTTTTCACTAACATTCAATTAATTTTATTTTCATTCTTAAAATAACAAAAAATAACAAAAATATTTATTTTTATTAATTAACTTATTTAATTTAATTTAATAATTAACTTAGTTAATTTCTTTCTTAAAATAAAAACCACAAAAAATCTTTTCTTTAACAAAAAGGGTCAAAACCCTAATCTTTGCGCTCGATTTAATTTCCCGCACGCGATTTATTTTCCTTTATCCATTATGTATCTGATTCCAGTTTGTAATAGCTTAATAGGACTTTTATTTATTTTTTGTCGCTTTATTTATTTTTAAAGGGTTTGTCTTTGGCGATGTAAATACCCGACGCCTTGTAATTTAAATTCCGCATTTTATTTCCGCAATTTATAACTGTTAGATGTTTGATAATAGGGATGCATGATAAGACTGAATGTTTTA